CGGGCTTCCTAGTTCGATCCAGTTCAGTGCCAGTATGGACAAGGGGGACGTCACACCTTGTAATATTTCATTACTGTCTTCTCTCAAACTTGACTTGAGGACCTTGTCAGCATGACCTATCTCTAGGTAGGACTCATCGAAAAACATGACCGTGATATCGACACCTAGTGACCAAACGTGTTTTGGTCTGGAATCAGAGATCGTTGTATTTTTGACCGTGGCAGTAAACGGGAGGAAGTGTCGGAGTAAACTCCAGCGCGGGTTGAAACCTCTCCTCTGCCCGTAGTCCAGGTGGAGGTAGTAGGACTTCAGGTTGGGCATGTAAATTAGCAATTTTGCCGTGTCCCATTTATCCGGAAAGGTTATGTTCGCCTTGTGAATCGTAATGCTTTGTAAAGTTTGAGAATGTGTTGTCACCAACCGGAGAAAGTCACGTGCTCCAAAATGGTAATGGATGTCAAATTCGAAATATTCTCGTGTTCCACAAATGTCAAATTGAGGATGCCAGGTGCTTTACCGCAGAGTAGGTAGGATCCCGTCACGTTGTCGAAAACTGGATGATCAGCCGGATTATTATTAGCAAACGTTTCTGTCCGGTCAGGATGAGCTGTCACGAGTTCTGGCGAGTGTACAATGTGTGCAAATAATATGGTGGTAACGTTGGTAGTGTTCGTGGCTTTCTTAATGCAGGTGCACCGAAATATTGGATCCAATTTTTTGATCCAAATATTGGATCCAAGTTAGTACCCACTTTTTGGTGGGTACTAGTTGGGTACTAGTTGGCCTCTGTGAAGTTAGCCCAACGTGGTATCAATTCTCAATGGTTTGGATTGCAACTCGATATGGATGTAATTAATCTTCCAGGGGGTGTGTCCTGACGAGCACACCCCCTCAAGGGGTAAAGTTAGATTCCATTAAGATATGATGGTATATTCAAGTGACAAGCTTCGGGTACTTTGTGGGTGTGCCTCCACTCGACCACACCCCCTCCCGGGGTACAATGAGATTGTCCTGATTATCTAATACTTATAAAGCAGGGGAGACAGACGCTGCTGGTAATGTTACTGGCCTTTCTTTAGAGAAGTGGTCTCGAATCATAAAATCACAGACTTTAATGCCCTTATTGTACATAGGTACATACATATGAGATTACTAGGTTTTACTCCATAAACCCTATTACGCCCTCCGCAACCCTCTGAAGGCGTGCGCAACACAAAATTGGGAGCATTAAAACCTTAACCAAAAGCCAATATTACTCGGAGTTTCATAATTGTTACGTTTAATAGCAAACTTTAATATTTTGAAATTTTGATTTTTTCGACTAAGGGAAATTTAAATAAATTCTGAAAATTTCAAAAAAGTTGAGTTTGCTGTTGGATATGACAATTATCTGGGAGTGTTACACCAAATGCCTTCGCATTGTTAGTAGTAACTGGTTACAAGGTATACTTGATTACCAAAAAGGTATACATTTATTACCAAATAGTAATAACATACTACCCCGCGTTAATAACCGGTATCACAATCCCGTTAGAGTCATATATGATTACCGGATATTTATGCGTGTACGGATGGCTATTGTGACGTGGATAGGATTTAAAGTTCAATTATTTTGAAGCAGTCATGTCGGGGCCGTGACACTTTTCAGGAAGAAAATGCATCCCACGGAAATACAATAACGGACAGCAACTTAGCACCGATTCCTCGTCAGTGTCACCTCTCCCTGCTAAATCCCCTTCTCACGTTCGGATACTACTTAGGCATCGTTCCATTCCGCTTCCGAGTCATAACGGGTACAAAAGTTGGCAGCAATGCTAAACTGGAACTTTACAAATGGAAAGTACAAAAGGTAAATAGTAAAGTGTAAAGTTGATGATCATTTCTGTCCGGACTGTTTATTAGTTTGAAGATATTGAGTTTGTGGAGATAGTGTTTCGAGTGGAACAAACGGAATGTCCAGGACGGCCGACAAAAGGCTACTTTCGACCACTAAATCCAAATTTTATCCGGACATAAATTGTGGTTAAAACCGGTTTTTTTCCACTCGGACAAAAGTCGTTTCAACTACTCCAAAACCGTTTTGGACGTCCAAAAAGTAACACTGGCGTTAAGGGTGCTAATAGACACATATTTCCTGTCCAAAACCTTTCTTCCCATCCCAGTTGGAAAAAGTGGGAAAAGTGGGAAAAATGGCGGCCAATGTATTTAGTTATTGGGTCACTCCACGAGTTATGGTAATGGGTCTGATGTCAAAAATCAATTTTTTTAAAATCCTTCAAGTATATGTTAGGGGACCTTAGAATATGGAGAAAAATCATTTTCCCCAAATTTTTAAAATTTCTGGGGGCGTGGTAGGAGCGGGAGTGGCTTACATTGAGAAACCACTTTCTCTCGGCCGCTATTGTACCTATAGGCTCCAAATTTCATGTGGAAATACCTTGGGTAAATACAAATGCCGGGTTTCTTCTCTTTTTTAGAAATTAGGTCATGGTGACCGTGTACAGGCCTAATTAAATTTAATTAATTAATTAAATTAATTTATTAAATTAAATTGGTTGTGATGTGAATTGTCAATGTTCCACACCCTGGCGTCCCCGTTAGCAAATCTGAGCTGGCCTTCTCGGAAGCAAGTCTCGCTCTCGTACCCTTTCCAACTGTAGTCACACAGGCGGAATTCGTGCCACCCACCGTGCACCGCTTGCCAATAAATTTTGACATCGATCGTTTGCCCCACAGTGTAGTTCCTCACGATCAGACCGCGCTCGTGCGCTCCCCCAATTTCATGCTGTCTCGGCATCGCTTGCGTTATTGGATCTCCGCACAGACCGCAAGCATTTACGTTGGGCTCGGTCACCTACAAATTTGTAATTGTTATTAAATAAAAAAAACAACCGCGGTAACCGAACCTTGTCCCTAGCTTAGACCATTTATTAGTAATCGGGTAAAAAAGCAAAAAAAATGCAGAATGGGCTGTAATGCTTAATTGCTTTTTACTCTTTTATACTTGTTTTATTGCTTTTTACTCGTGCTATTTTTCTAACTTAAGCGCCACCTAGCGGCGTAAATGCCAACTACAATGTTTTAAGTAGCAAAAAAGCAAAAAATAATAATTCAATACAACAAAAAATCAGCTTTAAAGCAAGTTAAAAGCAAAAAGTCAGCTTTATTTTGCTAGGGAGAACACTACAAATTTCAGATTTCAAAAATACACAGAAAAATATTAATTTTTGATTAAAATTTAACAACCAATCTGACTAGAAAGTTTCTCAAATCGAATTCTTCTCCGTAAAATTCGTAAAATACAACATACGTAAAATAAACGAATTTCGTAAAACAATTATTATATTTCTTTACCCCCTCGCCACCACAATGGAGTTCCGTGTCATCCCCTATGAGACTTCCCATTGGTATTCGGGAAGTCCCCACAAATAACCGCGATGTGGGGGATCCTGCACACGACCGTGACCGTGGCAGGCTACGATAAAGAGGAAAAGGGTAAATAAAATCTTGGCCGTCATAATGAATGCCAGATGAACGTTGCAATATTTTTGCACGACTGAAGACAAAGTTATGTTGTGCACAATTATTTATACAAGTTTGCGAAATAATGTCCGGCTAAAAGTCGTTTTGGACGTCCAAAAAGAAACACTGATTACGCATTTTCTGACAAACCCAACCATATCTTCGTTATCACGTCGAGATTCTGGGCATTTTCACCACTGTCTCGAGCATTTTTGGTTGCATTGCATTTTCACATGAGGTTCGGATGGAAAACTAATTCGTTTCGAAGTGTTGTCGAGACAGTAATGAAAATGCTCAGAATTTCAAGGAGATTATGAATAGATGGTTGGTTTTGTGACAAAATGCATGATAAAGAAGTTGGTTAGGTTGGGTTAGAAATATATACCAAGTGTCGCAGATTGTGAAGCGGTGAGGAGGCATGTATGTATTTATAATTGGCCATAGAGTGATTTGGGTAGGAACTTTTCTAGTTATGAAGATCACGTTGTGACAGTGCCATTAGTATTTAATTTCTATGTCTACGCTAAAGTTTATTTTTGCTGCAATTTATCTTACTTAAAATCACAATATGTCCTTCGAGATTTGAGCTTTAATTTATTGACTCTTTTTCAACATGGTAAGAACTTCTGGCCTTCAGCCTCATTCACTTTCGTGACTACGTCAAATCAGTTACCAATTCGGACAGTGAGTCAAACGTCGAGAATCACCATTTGTAATTTGAATTGAATTGGCATTAATTAAATTATAAATTGTGAAATACTAAACCACCCCGCCAAATTGTTTAAAGTGAAATCGCCCACACAAAAGGGTAGTCAGTGTAAACTTCATTGTAATGTCACACTCATCAGGATGCGTAGATGTGAACTTTGTAGGAATTAATCACTCGCAAACATGTCAAACTACTTATGTAAAATTTCACAGCAATTAAAATGTCAGAAGCAAAAGTGCTTACAGTGGTTTCACATTCTCCTCTAGGGGACACCACGCGGACAGTTGACACCCACCAGAAATACATCTTCCCATCAGAGCTCCATTATTTTGTTGAATTGTTGTCCCCGCTTTACACTCCGAGCTGGATTTGCACCGAATTGTAGCATTTTTCTGGAAAATATCAATAAAGTATGATTAATTTACACGGGTGTCATTGCATCAGCTTGGGACAATATTTCCACAGCTTTATGGTTTCCCCATAATCGACCCATGCTAAATAACCTCTTTCGCCTCATATCCTACAATATTAACGTCCCCATATGTCCCCACGCCTCCCGCGGCCACTGGGCGGTAGCACACAGGTACACTCCGCGTCGTAAGTTTAGCCTCACCCTACGCCATAGTCATATCTCTGCAATGGCTGAACCGATTTTGATGAACTAAACTTTATTTTATAGTAAAAGCAATTTGTATAGAAGGGTTGTAGTTCAATTTAACTCAAGTTGGTTCGAAAAAATAAAATCCGTCATAATACAAAAAACGTTAAATGTATTAGGAGAAATCAGAATGATACAAATAATTTATTTTATTGCCATTTTTCATGATTGATTTCTGCGAAAATGACAAAATTAATATATTTTTTAAATTGTTGGATTACGGATTACTAATCCGGATTAATCCTAATCAGTATTACTAATCCAAGCAATTTTAATCCGGATTATCCCAACTCTGGGTGGGGCATATTTCAAATCGAGTCCAACGAATTGGTTGGAAGTCAGAAATAACGGATAGTTCTGGAAACATGCCAAAGCTGGAGGATCGGCTACAGCAAACCATTAGTGCCTTAGATCCGAAGAAGTCTATCATCAATTATGATTATTACAATTTATATTAAATATATATTAAATATTTATATTATAAGTTATATTATTATAAGTTATATATTATGAGTTATATTAAATATTTTTTAAGTATTATTTAAATATTTTACCCTTTAGCCCGTAAGGGCAACAATAGTCGTTCGGTACAAGAGCGAATAAAATTAAAAATTCTATTCTGCACAAATATAGTTTTAACGTTCATGTGTCCACGGGAAAACAAATATAAAACCAATATAAATGTAACTAAAATGCATATTACTTAAATCGAACTGCAGATTTGGAGCGTGAACACATTTGACGTCTTATTTTCAACTTAACTGCTTTCTCTAGTCTCCAAATGTTTACCAGCAAGCTCTTCCTAGTTTCCCTAATAAATATCAAACTGCATACACCCAATAAAGCAAAGTGGATGATAAACATGGATTGGACACTGTCAGACAATTTGATAGCTCTAACCCTCCATTCTCCTTCCCCTCCCTTCTCTTTTCCCACATAACTTGTCGCCCATTCTTTAATTCCCCTGCCTAAATTCTTCCCCACAATCTGAGTTAGCTTTTGATAAACACCAAATTCCACGAAATTCTTTAATAATTTCGGCAGCTTGGATTTTTCAGATGACCAAACAGCGATTCCCCAGGGTTTTGAAAAAATTCTTTCTTTCCCCTGGTAAAAATCTTTTGTCGGATAAATTTCGTCCATTGTCTTAACATAATTGGAGACATCTCTCCATTCGCCAAGATATGCGGAGGGTTCGTCACAATCGGTTATTTCTTTTAGTATCGCTTTTTCAATATTTTTTCTATGTGTATGGAAAATGTATCCGTGAAGATATTCCCAGCCAAGTTTTGTATCCAAGACCTTCATACTTTTCAGAATTTCTAAATTACCAGTTTGGTTAAAAGCATTAAGTAATATATTCTTTGAGGAAACTTTACTCTCGTTCCATAAACTTTTAGGGAAAAACCTTCTTTTCGGGTTGAGCAAATAAAATAACAACTTTGTCTCGGAATGAGAAAAATTATAATATAGTAAATCAAATAGGTTCCCCAAAATTGAGAAAGTTTCGTAAGATTCCCTTTGAAAGGGATGTACAAATTTATCCATCTCATAATCTCGAATTTTAGATAAAATACTGAAACACTCGGAACGTTCACCTGGCGTCAAATGAATTAAGGGATTATATCTTTCTTTAGCTTCCAGATAGTAATAATCTTGTGCTTTGGCCACGTTGTAAATTGTTTTATTTAGAACACTTTCTTTTCCATCTTTGTAGCAAGCTAGGTGTTCGAAATCCCTAATTTTGTCCTTTGGGAGAGGAGAATTCACAAATTCGATCAAAATCCCAATATAGCAAACGCTAAAAAGCGTACCGATAAATAACCAGGGAATATTTATGAGTCGAAATGGCAAATTGTCATCTAGCCTTTTTGGAATGAAACTGTATTCGTCTACCAGGAAACCGAAGAATGTAAGAAAGACGTTAAATTTTATTCCTATCTTTAAAAAACGCTCCGTATAGAACCACACAACTGTCGAGATAATGCAAACCGTACAAATTAGAGCAATCCATAAGTTAAAGGAAAACGGAACGAAGTAAATCAGGAAATCTAAACTTCCTTTTGCATAACACGAGAAATACGTAATCCCATCAAATCGGGTTACAATTAGGTCATACTTTTTTGAGAAATCTACTCCATACAAATCGCTTAGCTTTATTTCCCCATCTAATGTTGGATAAAATTTGCAATCCTCCGAGCTATCACAACTTTTTGGACACCAAGCAAACTGAGAGCCAAGCACCCGTTTACAAAGGAATAAGGAAGCATTCAAGCTTTTTGTTGCTTCAAAATGCAGATATGGAAACATTTGGGTTACATTTTCAAGCGGGACATTCAAAGTTATCCCTTTTGTTTCATAATTGTAGCGAAATTTCCAATTTAAATCGGTGTTAAAAGCAGCGCTTGATTTAAAATATGATTCAATTTCTAACGTTTCAGTGTTGTTGAGACATCTAAAGTTTTTTTCGAAATTTGGAGCCGTATGTAATTTATAATGGTAGCAGAATTGGTGTGGAAATAGGAGGGAAAAATATGGGGAATATTGATCTTTATTGCGACCAGAAATGTATGCTCTGCCATTTCACAATGGCCGTGGTTTTCCTTCCGAAAGGCTAACGACAAAGTAAAATTTGTCCGCAGTGAGGGGTGGGACAAATATTAGAAACTTGTGTCGAAATATGATCTTAAAAATTCTTGCTTGAAAAATTTCTTACTTGCAACGCTCATCCATTCCACAAAAGAACATCATTTGACTCCACACATTTTCGTGTCTAAACTCAAATTGACACTCGTCATAATTTTGGAGCACACAGGTCGAAAAATCCTACCAAAATTTATACTAGTATATTTTCGTGATGGGATTTGCGACTTAATTATTTATTTACCCTCTGTAACCAAGTGTCGTCCTCTGTTTTATTATTGGCCTTCCTCATCTTGGCGACAAAATTTCTAACCTTGCTTAACCGGATGTAGTAATACCATGAAATCACTCGCTCGACCGGGTCCCGCACCATGTTGATGTACACGACGTGGTCACAGGCACCCCCCACACGGGTAAAGTTGACCATAGCGACGTGTTTAGTATACACGCTGACTGGTTGTTTGGGAATCTGGCAGAGGAGGTGCGCAAGGTCAGCTTCCTGGGCACAATTCAGCCTGGCCTGCATCCCAGGGTGGGCGCCGTCTTGGTAGAAGGCGACCCCATTTCGGATGGACAGTTTTCTGAGGAGATTTATCATCATGCTGCTCCCTACTTTGGGGACTCGGTTAAAAAATATTAAGTCCGGATTTGGTGCGGTGACGTTGGTGTTTTTGAACCTATCAGCAAAAAGGGACCCATTTGTGGCGGGATTGGACGTTTTTTCGGCGGAAGGGGAACCATTTGTGGAGTAAACGAAGAGAAACAATGCTATAAAATAAAGAGTCCACATGTCGGATTAGGGTCGGATAGAGAAATGATGCTGAAATTTATTACTGAGAGGGTTATAAATATATGCCAAAAAACTGTAATTTTAGATACATATATTATTGTTTAAGTGATAATCCAGGTTAATTTGGTGTTTTTTTGTTGGTTGTTCCTTATTACCCGGAAGCATAAATAAATAAATTTGAGTCAAATGTGTGGAATTTGAATCAGTCGGCTGATGATAAGTAAAATGTAGCACACTATTCCCGTTAATGAAGATGACAATTTTATGTTAATATTCTGCATAAGTGCGGCACATCCAATGTGTGCCTGAAGAAGCATATAATTAGTCATTGTATTCTGTCCCATTGTTTTTCTAATCTGGCCAGTCGCGCGTATAAATAATTCAGCAAATACCAATTTATTTCAGAAACGCGAAGCAAGTCGACCTAATCCTGCTTACAAATCGTGCAATTCAACACGGCAACTTCGACATGAATTTCGTCCACCTTTTCACACTGTTCGTATTTTTGGAATCAGCTTGCAAATTCGCCGAAATGCTGAATATTACGGTAATTGATAAATCCTGATTTGCAATTAAGGTCTCCCATCGAAGGCTGTCAAACTTTTACTCAACTTTATTAATAATGTATTAATTTTCTATAAATTGAATCAGTATGACATTGAAAAAATGCATGATCTCACCTCACAATTATCAAGTTTAGCAGAGATACTTGTATGAGAAGAGGAGAAAAACGGGGGATTGTATTAAAATACAGCAATTGGAATAAAAAGAGGAAATTTGGAATATACGTGTAGAAATTGACATCTTCGATGCCAGTAAATATCTCTTAAATTTATAGAAAATTAATACCGAATATGTATCTGCATCAAACGTGGGAAATGTGACTTTTGCAAATCTGTAATTGGCGAGTAAATATTACAAACGTAATTAATTTAATCAGAAAAAGGGCACAAGCTGCGTAGAAAGAACCCCGTTCTGCTTGGGGCATTCTGACTGTTGTGGTCATCGATGCGTTCCACTCATTTCCCACACTATCTCAGCCACAACAGTGTACAACACCCTTGGCTATGTTGGACTACGGGGTGAGAGTCAATTTGATCTCTCCAGCGTGCACGTCTGTTCGACTGATGTGCACACAGACGACAAAGTGGCGACTGCGGATGAGTGGGACCTAGAAAAAACGTTGCTCAGGACGACACCGACAGCACCGACGACACCGACAGCACCGACGACACCAACGACGCCCACGACACCGACAGCACCCCCCGAACATGCACCACCGTTTCCTGGGTGTACACAGTACCCACAGTACCCACAGCACCCTAATTGGTATCCGAGATCACATAAGCAACATAAGGTCGCCATTGAGTTGAAGAAATTTTCCGATTTCGTTCCCACCGTTTGTCGCCCATTTGTAGAAAATGCCATGAAAATATTTGGCGGATTTCAGCATCGAAATCCTGTGGGGAAGGTGTCATATGGCGATGATTGTGCAGCTGATATGGAAACCTCGGAGTTCGTATATTAAATTGCTAACCATAATATACATGTGTATTGTCAAAAGAAGTTAAACTGAAAGATTAAATTAGTTCAATAAATTGGTATTGGATGCGTGTTTGAATTCATTTGCATTTATAGAAATCCAGTAGGAAAACAATTCCAGGCAGTTTTCATACAAATAAATATGTTGTTGTTAGGTTTTGAAATTTTACCGTATTGGTAGCAAATTTTGCACGCTCATAATTTTAATATTGAGAAGATGGAGCAACGCTTAGGTGCAATTTGGTACAAAATAAGTAATCTAAATATCCGTACGTCAGAATTCAGTTTTCTTCATTATACATATGTATGTACGTGGCGAGCAGTAAAGGTTGCGAAGGTGTAGAACCATTATTGCGTATACATCGTGTCCCAAAAGCATCTCCCATCGATAGGATATACTTTTTGTGATAATGTTTGTATCCTCACTCGTGTGTGTTCACGAGATTGCCTGACATTTTAGGTCATTGTGTAAAAAAATGTTTAAAGAAATAAGCACAAGAGATGTAAGATAAAAAATGGATGAAATCCGCGCGATTTTGGGGAGATACATTTGGGACACAGTGTAGTCAAGTGCAATTTATTTGCATAGCTTACACTTTTAGGTATTACGCAGGAAATTATCTAACAAGACCAAGACATGTTCATATTCATATTTTTAAATAATACTTTGCCCATTATTTGTAACTGGACCACCGTATCTGGAAATATTCGGGAATTAATATGTGTGCTTTCCAAATTTGATGTTAGTGCTCTCTATTAATTAGGTAGGGCATGCTGGCTGAAAGTGTCTGCATTTCATTCTCGTCGTTTGTGTATGTATGTGTGGCTCAGGCCACATCTAGGCCTGAGCCCAGATGTGGCCAGTTACTGAGAGAACGCGCAAATGACCAATTAACTGTGAAGGAAAGGGTCGATAGTGAATTTACATATGTATGTATGCATGCATATGTATGTACAGTACGAACGGAAAGTATTCATGGGTTTGGTAGACTCGTGGTGAAATCGTCATATCTTTTCATCAATTCAAGCTATGTCCTTGAAAATTTGCCCAAATGCAGATAATATAACGCATATGAACCTTCTCGATTCCCGAGGTCAACCAACTACGGATTATGCGTTGCGAATAATAACAATTTGGACCCGTAAAAAGTTCACGTGCTAAAAGTATTCATGTGTTTTATATTTTGAGTTGTAACTTGTCAAAATTTGTCCAATTATTAGAAATTTCTGGAAATTTCTGTACAACTATTCGAAAGAGTACACGTAAGTGAAATAAAAAATATTTTCGCTTGTTTAGTTGCATGTATGTATGTGAAGTTCTTGTGCACAGGGGCGAACAAACATCAGAAGAAGTTCGTAAGAAAATCATCGCTTACCATATTAAGAAAATTGTGCCTAGCAAAATTCATGAAAAGACTAACGTAGCAAGCCCAACGATTGAGAGTGTTATCCAAAAGTGGAAGAAAACTGGCGGAACTGTCAATTTACCAAGGTCCCACCAAGAGAAATGCACAACTACATGGTAAGATCGCTTTATTGTACAACACTAGGAAAGAAAGCCACAGATAACCGTGGGTTTCTTTTACACATGTAAAGGTGAATAAAATCTGTCCACCAGAATTCAAAATCTTAGAGTTCAAATTTCTTATTCGAAATTATGACGCACCCTGTAAGTAGTCAATAATGATTTATTAATTTTAAACACCTAATTATATATTTTATGTACTACATTGCACAAATTTACAAAACTCGCAGATATGAAAACATGTACATAAATTTAAAACGGCCTACAATTTACACACATTTAATATTCTTAAACAAACAAACATACATAATGCAACTTTCAACAACAGATAAGATTTTCCCTTATTGTAAGTAGCTTACGAAAGTGCCATGCATAAAAAATATCATTTCGTCTGTCATTCTAAATACTGAGGTCAGAATCAGTTTAACCATACACATTTGTGACGTATTTGTACACAAATATATTTAGTTGACCAGTCTCAGACTTTTGGCACATTCCGTATGCTCCAACCCCACTCCTCCTGTCTTCACTCTGTCCAATAATTATTCATATATCCAATTATTACACAGTGCTCATTTATATTATCTGCATCCCATCCTTCCCACATTCTCCCACATCCTGGCCAAACTTTGATAATCATTCCACAGAAATATGTTTATAAATTCATCACATTCTTATCATTTGGCACGTATGTACACTCTTATCCAACTGGCAAATCAACTAACCTCTATTTGTGGATGTACAAAGTAAAATTTTTCTGAACATGAACCCAACCAATAAATATGTATAGGCACTTTCTCATTGTTTGTTTCACATCCTGCCCAATGTTATCAAACTTTGATAAGCCAAAAACATAACGGCGCCTATCCTTGTTACGTAATTCGTCTCACGGCGAGTATCCTATTACTGTTCAGAGGGCCGCCTGGATTAACTACCAGATTAGATAACTTGTATTCCATTCCAGTCGGCCTGTAATAAATTTAACTGTATGCAAATTGAAAAAACCAGACGCAAGTTTCTTACCCCATCAAAGTGATCAAATTTCGCCAAACGATCGCAATAAATTTGCAATGGAAGTAGAATTCAAACCAGACTTGGAACTGTACATTCAACCAGACGATTGGAAAGCCATTTTTAATACATTCCTTCAACCAGGCACACCGCTCTTCTCAACAAAGGAGTTGGAATTAAGCGAAAAGTTGAATCTGGAGCTTTATCCAACAATTTCTGACTTGTCCAAACTGGCGAAAATCGCTTACTCTACTTTCGCCGATGCAAAGGAGCAATTGACAAAATGTAAGATTTCATTTTTCAAAATGAACACTAAATATAAATTTAATAATTACATTAAACTAGAATAAGAGCTTGGCAATCGTTAATTATTCAACCAAATCATCGTACAAAATGACATCATTTTATAACGACCAGGCAATGTCGATATCACCAGAGAATGGCAAACAACGAAGATAAGTTTGCCATTCCTAACTCAACAGTAAAGCGCTGAGTCATACATAAATCCCATGACATTTAAATAATCATTAACGTTTGTAATTTTGTACATGACTATTTCATACATGTAGATATGTACATATCTAAATGTTTATACATTCAGATATGTAACAGGATGTCACATTACGCTGCCATGAAATACCACGCCATCACGGAACCATACCTCCTAATGAATCTACCATTCTCTATCTGCAGCATTATTTCGCAATTACAAATCGGATTATATTCTATAAAAATGGGCGACAGAAAAATAACAAATAACACAAAGTGCCCATTATGTGCATCAGGATATGACGCCTCAGTTGACCACCTTATTATGCATTGCAAAATTCTTACCCCAAGTCGAAACAAAAACTTACATGTAAAAGATTTTACTTCCCTCCTGAAATGTATAATGACAGTAGTAATCTAACAAGTCGCAGTTTCTTAAAATCACTATTCTGGTACTCGATTTATGTAGTCAGTTCTTATTCCAGGTAAAAATGAGCCAACATATAATTTGCCGGGTTTTATGCATAAAATTTGTGCAGAATTATGCTTAAATATGCACAATTTGCTACGATTGGACACAAAATTTATACATAAAATTTTCTACATAAAAAAGTTAATATTTTTAAACATATCAATATGTATATGTATTTATATATATGTATATTTATATATCAAGTTATATATATATATATGAATATATTTGTTTTTATGCACAGTAAATTATGCATAAATTTTTATGCCGAGTGCAAAATGCAGAAATTCTGTAGAAATATGCAGAATTATGCAGTGTTGTAGTAGTTAACTACAATTTTTTGTAAAAAGTAGTTGTAGTTAAATTCAACTACATGTGTAAAGTACTTGGAAAAGTAGTTAAACTACTTTTTCCGCTGATATAGTTGACCAACTAAATCTTAACTACTTTTCAACTACATTCTAACCACATTTCTGCCACATTATTTTTATCCAACAGGAAATTCTGAGGTTATCAGAAGGAACTAAATGAGTTCCTTCGAATGGTATGAGTAAATATCTCTGTGCTAAATTTCAGCTTGATTGGTTGATTTAAAAAATCGGAATTAACGACCCCGTATTGTTTCTCTACTTATAATTTTTTTCAATGTTACTCCATATTCTTTCATCTTAAGTCATTGCCAAATTTCAGACGTCTATGTAAGACCAATACCAATATTCTGACCACACCTATGACTCCTACCGGTCAACCACTTCATATTTTTCAATTATTTGTGAAATGATTTATTTGAATATTGAGTTTCATTTTGAATTTAGAATGACGATGCTATTTTAGCTGACAAAAATTGCTATCAGTTGTGGTATTATGAATTGTATTATGCTATCAGAATAGCAGCTACGAATTAGTTGTGCTATGAATTGTTACTTTGCTATGAATTGTATGTGCTATGAATTTTCCGCTATGAATCGTCTGGCACCCCTCACCTATGCATAATGGAATCGTTTCCATCTAATGTCAGATATATTTAGAGTGAGGAAAATGGATTTTTGCAAATTTTAGAAGCTCGAGGCTTATCAAGTGGGTTAGGTTAGGATATCAAGGAGATTGCATTAATTGTGCTCAAAAGAAAATTAAACCCAACATCAAATTAAGTGCAAATCTTCTCACGACTTGGAACGTTATTATTGTTTTTATTATGTGCCTGATTCTTAATATTTCTTGTAGTTCAGGAAAGCAAAAAAGCTAACTTTGTAGAGGAAACATCCCGATTATGGGGGATTAATAATGACCCTAGGATAAACAAAGTGTCGCATTAGCAATTTTGAACCACAATTCGTAATTGTCGAAAGAAGCTTTGAGATTCAAATTAATAATATGAATAGAATATATGTATGCTATATAAAAAATGTAAAAAATATTAGTGACAAATTTTGTATTTTGCTTTTACTTGGATTCGGGAGATGTAGTTAAATCTAGTTGAGAGTAGTTGAAAGTAGGGTTGTACAATTCCCGCTCCCTCGGAATAAATTCCCGTACTCTCCCTCCCTCCAAATCTTCCCAATAAATTCCATCCTAGCTCCATTTATTCCCTAACATTTATATTCCCAGAATTTTTGAAGTAATATTGGGAATTTTCAGGGAATATTGAGAATATTCCCACCGCTATACTTAAATTCATCCACATGATTAATAAATTGGGAGAGTAATTTTCAATACACTAAGGTATTGATCAGAAAGATATGACTTAATAAATAATGAAATTGTATTTATTTATTTAGAAAAAAACTTTGGATTGGGCGTCGTGTCAAAGTGACACTAAGCAATCAGTAACAATACAGTTTTTAGAAGGATATTTCGCAATTTGCTCTCAGGATAAGCTAGAAAGAATCACGAAACTTGCTAAAAATGTTCGTCGTAGACGTTTGTCTATCGTTTGACCCATTTTATCTGTTTTAATTATTTGCAACAAAAACTACTACTATTTCATTGGCGATTGATGACAAAAGGAGTTGCGAGTTCTAAATGTGTTTATATATAACATAAATAATCCATACGTTTATGATGAAAAAATGGAATTATAATTTTATAATACTCAGAGCAAAACACCTGGTTATTTGTTTCATTATGAAACACTTCCCTTTCGCATGCGAAAACCCAGCAATATTAATTTATCAGGGTAACCCGGGGTCGAAATGTTTTTTTGAAACTTCCCAAAATTCCCTGAAACATAAATTCCCGAAAAATTGGGAATATTGGGAATTTCAAAATTCCAAAATTCCAGGGAGTAGGGAGCGGTACAACTCTAGTTGAAAGTAGTTGAAAACTAGTTGAAAAGTAGTTGAAAAGTAGTTAACTACATTTAAAAAAATAGTTGAAATTGTAGGTGAAATTGTAGGTGAAATTCAACTACATACAATAAATGTAGTTGTAGTTGTAGTTCTACTGCTTTCTCGTGTAGTTAAACATCACTGGAATTATGCACGTTTCACCTGCATGAACGGCTTATGCATAAAATTCGGCCAAAACTATGCATAATCTTTTCACCCGGGTGACCTTTTATCTTAACAATACTCTTTGCAACAATTTTTGTAATGAACATTTGTGACATGTTTATGAGGGCTGCCGCCGTATGTCAATAAATACTATATCATACTGTACGATACATGTATGAAATAGTCATGTAATTAGTATTAATGTAGTTATGTTCTGTACCCAATGTATGGTTTAGACTTCAACTAATTCATCTAGAAAGCTGAAGTTGCTACATTCGAAAACCATAAAAATATTTTAAAAGTTGTTTAACGATTTCGAAAATCCCAACTGCTCTGGAAGCACCGGACCCTTGTTCAAATATATATTTTCAAATTTCTAAAATTCGACCACACCCACCAGAAATTGAGGTTACTAGGTGAACAATTCTGAGAACCTCTGAGTTTAATTAAACCTCACGAACTGCATACAGAGATATGTATCAACATGTGGTGCCTACTTTAACAAATTTACTTGTCGCCCAGGGCACCATACGCTACTTCAATTAGTCACACCCCAAATTGGTGTGGTTATTTGTCAATTGTTATATAATATGTAATTACACATAAATGATGGAAATGAGACTCAGAGGTAGATAAGGAGACAGTTTATTAGTGTGAATAGTAAGAGAGTTCAAGATGGAGTCTTGTACAAATGAGTGATTACAGCCTTATTATTCTATACATACATATACCTAACAACACAACGTATGGCATGGGACAAATCATTTTTTCCGGTTATGGCAGTGGCGCTTATGTAGCGGTTATGAACACATTAGCTAAACTCGAAACCGCACTAACAGGGGGCAATGGCTTCCCGATTATTTGTCAATGTTATCGGAATTAGTCATGCAGCATATATTTTTTCCAGCTTAATGAAGCGATTACGATAAGCCGTATTCAAAACTCCACCCAATGAGCGGTGGGGCTTCCAGATATTCGTCTGATTAAATTTATCTATATATCAATCGTTCTACAAGAAGTTTATTCATCACTTTCAGTAAGCCTGACCGACTACAAGCTTATCTGTAAAGCAGAAAAGGGACCGTTCCATGCATTCGTCCTGTTTCGTGAGGGAAGCCTTTCCGAGAAGAGGCATCGACAGCTTATTATTGCTTTTAAAGGTACCATTTACATTAACATTACTAAGGAAGAGAGGCATTCCACATGCCATTCTCAGATCTTGATACCCTTTGGATATAAGGTAGCCATCGGTGAGTAATGTATAACCCTAAAGTAGTTTCCCGCCACACCCCCTCAAAGTCGCAAGGAGCACGAAAATCCCCTGTTTTTCTTCAATAAAACCATTGCCAAAAATCTATTTTTTATCAGATTTTGTTAATTTCTGCATTTTCGTAATCCCAGATAGTTGTTCTACCATAAACAATATCAAACTCAACTTTTTTTAAATTTTGAAATTTTGCGATATACCCACTTGGTCAGAAAATTTTCAAAAATACAAAAAAATTGAAAATTCGAATTTGGTATGGGATACGATAAAGGAACTATCTGAGACCACAAGAATGGAAAGACTATCAGGATCTGATCAAAATTGGATTTTTGACGAATGTTTGTAACTGGGTAGGTTAGCATTCGGCACGACTTTGAGGGGGTGTGGCGGGCGCAAATGTGGCCATGGCATCAAAGCACTTTGGGGTTATTAATTACTCGCCTAGAGGTACTATATATGCAAAGGGCAACAGTATATGAGAGTGACATGTTGAGAACCTCTCCTCCTAAGCGTTGGGCGTATGTAGTTACATTTCTGCGTGTCGTAGACATAAAATGATCACAGTTTAAGTGGTTTTTACCAATATAGTTTTTACCAAAACTATGCATTATTTTTTATTTAAATTTGTGTTTTCAATATAACTCTTCACTACAACTTTGACCTACCGTATCAAACTCTCAAAAGTACTTTTCAAATCTAAGCTAAACGAATTGTCTAAATTGCATGTTTTCAAAAATCCATACAAAAAACTGACTACAGAATCCCAGTCGTCACTACTATAAAGAATCCCACGTTGCTCCAATAAGCATGGAAAAGAATCAAGCTAGGTTAAAATTTGTGGTTTATCCTGAGCAAATTAAAAACATTTTTCTGTGAGGCAAACTGTGTAATTCCTATTTTCGGCACAAATGCTAATATTGAAGTAAATACATGTATGTAACTAATTTATTTCATTAATCTAGGCTCCGCTTCCCCTGAGGACATTGAAGCCGATCTGCAAGGGATTGCCAATAACCAGAAAACGCCACAATTAAACCTTGCTTGCTCCTTCGCACTCCAAGTCCTGGAATTTGTGAAAATGGACACCTTATCGGATCCACTTCAACTCATCATCACTGGACACTCTCTAGGTGGTTGGTTAGCCCAGATTGCAACGTTTGCCGTAAAATATTTGAATTTTGATGAAGACAAAACCAAATTCGTGCGAGCCAAAATGGAAAAGTGGCACCCCCATTGTGTCGTATTCGACAGTCCTGGTGCTTTTCAAATACTAGATTACCTTAACTCACATGAAGAAATTAGACAACATCATGAATCGCATACCCTGGACATTTGCAATATTGTCTTTTATCCCAACATTGTTAATGTAATCAATTCTCCCTTCGGTGATATGGTGCAGATTAGCACGGAACAAATTGGACAAAAATTTAAAAATTGTAGACCTGAGGATACAATTAGATCCATTTATAATTACACTAAAGACTTCCACAGTATTGATCTGTTTGTAAAGGTTTTACATCCGACCACCCCACCCAGTCCATCAGCAAATGATGTGGGTTTAAAGCTGGATCATAATTTAAATGGTGAGGTATCATATGGTAGAATAGTAAACTGGCCACTGGTTGTATATTCAGGATGGGACACTAAAGTAGATAAGAGGGTAAGCGAATTCAAAATTAAGCGGATGGGAAAATTAGTCTTGAAAGCATTCACCCTTTTACGAGACAGGGGTGCTAGGAGCGAGTTTACGAACTGGATCCAAGAACAAACAAAGTTTTGTGAAATTAAATTTCCCCAAAATGATGAGATTAGTTTATCAACAACCAGATTAAGCAAGTCGGTAAAAAAAATTATTCAACAGTTTGAACAAATTCGGCTATGGAATGAATATATCGGAAAAGGCATGAAACATACGGACAAATTGAAGTTATTAGATAAAATTTGCTTTCACGAGCTGAAATATATTTTAGAGAAAGGTTTCAAGTTTACCGAGGAAGATGGAAGCATACATTTTGCAAATATTGAACAACTTAAAATTCTGAGAAATTGTAACACGTTCAATATACAAGGGAAATTATCTGAAGGGATAAACAAGTTACCAGATCATAATTTTACAAATCTATTGTTTTCCAGTGAGAAATACTGTGATGCAATGCTAGCCAAATATCCCAACGTGGAATTCAGTCTCACGGACATCCCTAACCTAGAAAATATAGGTAAGGATGATCGGGTACAAATTTTTACGTCACAAAGAAAACAATTGTTGACGTTGACCATGCTTAAATATGTTTATCTGAAACATGCAGGATTAAGTGAATCCCTAACGAAAGCAATAGTTTTGAAATATGATACCAGTAATGCATTGTATAGTTCACAAATCCCCGTAAAACTGCATGGGATTGATTTAATAATTATTGACTGCATCGAAAGTAACGTATCGAATGATATATTAGAGAAATTTTCATCCTCACATGAATACAGATATATCTGGTTAATATATTGCACCGAGGACGAACCGACAACTCCACAAAACTCTTGTGAACTGATCACAAAACGAAAAATTCTTGACACTCACGACTTGAATATCGACGACAAGTTACTCAACAGCTTGCTCGAAAAATATATAGTTTTCCAGGGAGAAGGCAAATTGCTGAAAGATATTATGCGTAATATAACTGAAGAGTTTAGAGATCACTTGCGCTCACGGCCATCCACCATTTTGTCTATTCTCAATGGTAGTCAGGAAATTGGAAACACTCCAAAAACTTTACTCGATCTGAGGAACGCATGTTTCGAAGTTTCTCATAAAATGAGCAGCCTGGAATTGGAAACGTACTACCAAAGGAAAACAAATCATAACACAATTGTTACAATTCTAAGTAACCGCCAAGATTTTGTAAGCGACAAACGGCTATCCGATATTAGTGGACGATTATCAATGGAAAATATAAAAGTCAAGACAATAACCGATCTTGAGGAATTTCGAAACATCTGCTTTCACAATCCCGCGTGCGTTGTCGACCTAATACGTTACGATGAACAAACTTTCGAGCTTAGCTTACAGTATAATCCAAGTTTTTACGCCGAGCGGGAAATTCAAAAACCAGGGATAGATTTGGAAGCGGTATCACGTCAATTAAAATCTGAAAGGGGAATTGATTGTTACATAGGCTCAGTATTTCCAGAAATAATAAACATTGTGGAAGTTGATCCCATAAATGACAGGGCGCAATTGTCTAGCATACAAATTCCAGAAGACATAATGGAATTTACAGAAAATGAAAATAAGTCAATAATTTTCGTAAAATCCTATGAAGGATATGAATGTATCAAAAGCGATCGTAGCAAAATAAAAATTGCGAACACCATAATTAAGGAAAACGACCTAAGCAGCCAGGATGTTCGATTTATTATTCTTTCCGATGTGCCCGGGATGGGAAAGTCTACAACGGCGATACGCATGGCCAACGGACTTTTGAAAAGTCGTACTGATGAAGCTCATCTTTTAATTATAATCGAGCTCAAAACTTTGAAAAACCTCGAACAGATTTTGCTAACCCAAGGAAATGATGAGTTCTTATCAAGTTTTGTTAATTTTGTTGCTACAAATCAACGGTTTAACGAGATAACAAAATTTTTATTGTATCACTTTATTAAAAGAGATCGCCCTAATGCTGTTACAATCATTGCGGATGGTTTTGACGAAATGACGATTGAAAACAAAAAACTATTCGCAAATATTCTAATGTACATCAGAAAGCAAACACAAATCAGGGTGGTCATTACCACCCGTCCTCACGATTGTAACCAGCTACAATACGCTCTATCCGTATTGGCACATACATTTGTGCCTATGGACAACTCTGAACCTCGTGAGAAAGAAAACTTTCTTGTAAATTTGTGGTCTGTGGCAGTTAGGTGTACTACAAAATCAGAAATTCAACTAAAATCAGAAATTGAAATACTAGATGAGTTTGCAACCAAAGTAATCCAAATGGCACAACCGGCTTTATTTAGTGAGAGGGAGCAATTTCTCGGGGTACCCCTTCAGTTAAGAATTTTGTCCGAAATATTTCTTCCCGATGCCATGGAGATGATTATTACTAGTAAAGTTAAGCAAGGCATAATAGAGAAGTTCAAGGGAAAAGAATCTTTGGCTTTCATATATAAACATTATATAGACCGGAAATATTTCTCTCGAAGAAAAATGGGACTAGAAATTCGTCTGTAGCGGATAGACTACTAATGGAGTATTTGGAGGAGTACATTTATAAAATGGCAGGTGACGCTCTAAATATGCAACCCGACTATGATGACTTAGTTACGTTAGTTTGCGGGAAAAAAGTACAATATACAAATGAACCCGCAATGGTTGAAATCCTACAAGTTGGAATTGTATATAGTGATGAGGGAATCATAAATCCGCAATTCTTACATAGGACGTTTGCAGAGTTTTACGTTGCAAAGTTCTTCGTGGAAAGAGTTATTGAGCCAATTTGTCAAGCGGACCATGACAAAATATATTTTGATGAAAATGCAAAAAAATTCGTTGCAAAATTCCTCTTAGAAAATTGTGGGATAGGTTCTGAAAATACGGTTTTCTTGTTTCTAAATGATTTTATGAAAAAAATGTACTCCAATGGCCTAAAGTATACTAGCTTTCCAAAACTTGAACTTCATGGCGAACTAGTAAGAAAATTCGATTTAATATGTCGTCGCAGCGAGATTCAAGATAACTATGTTTTAGACTTTATCATAAACACGACACAAATTCAGGATTTCGACGATACTAAAATTTGGAAATACGCTAATTTGTCTTTATCAGAGATGTATGCACGTGATTTGAAAGAATTTACTTTCATATTTTCATTGCTGCGGAAAATTTTAATTCTTAATCAAGACAAGACACTGAGATATATTAAATTTTTAACTATTTTCGACTTTGTGAGATCAGAACACAGGCTAATTTCTATTAATGACATGATTAGGATGTGCAAACCTAGAGGAATCAAAAATGTATTTATTATGAATGATCCAATGGCATATATATTACTGACGGAGGAAAATAAGGACAAGTTTTTGACAGATTTCCAGACATATGTCCTTCAAGATTCGACATTAAAAAATCCTTTGCAACTACCATATAGAGATAAATTTCATGGAAAAATTGACAAGGGCAATCTAGCACCTGACGAACACATGTATAAACTAATTGAAGAGAACTACGAAGTTCAATTTTCCAACAAAGATTGGGAACGCATTTACAAATATCAGGAATGGAGAACCTTAACAATTTTCTCGAATGATTGGTTTACGATTTTAAGACTTTTTGGCCAGCCCTTAAATATAGGCTTGCTAAGACAACGGAGTTTACGGCCAACTTGGCAACCGCTCCAGCAGCAGCCGCCTCCGGTGACTCGACGTTGTGACTCTCGACCAAACAAACATACAATTCATCAACCTAGAAAATGATAACGAAAACTTGCACATAAAATATTTAGTCAATTTGTCATTTGATACTGGCTGTCGAAGTATGTAAATTAGAAATTCTGCGATCTTAATGAAAATGGGTTTGATAATATTTTTATTAAATACTTGTACCATTTATAATAAGTGATTCTTCTGTATGTAGCCTTACTATTAGTAATTTTATTTATGTACGTATATGCATATGTAAACTTTATGTGAGTAACTACACACGAACTCTGAACACGATTTGGTTAATTAACGCAATGATTTGTTTAATGTTCCGGCATAGATAATCCATGTAAAACTTTGGCAGTTGTTAAAGTACATATGACATTGCTGTTCAAAACTTTCGGATATTGAATAAATATATATTTTGGGTGTTATTACATTATCTGAGCAAATGCTATTGTTTGGCTTTCTGGTAAAATTTATTCACTTCAGACAACAACTTTGCTTCACAGGAACCCAAAAGCCAGAAATGCCGATGCATCTGCATGCATACATATATACTTCATCATGGTCACTATGCATAGTGACCATGTAATGTAAGTACATGTACTTACATTCATACGTACATACAGATTATGACATAAATACACGCATAAATAAAGAGCAGTCACTAAAGTTGGGCACTAATTGCGCCACCAAGGATTTCGAGTACTTACTATTAGTATAAGTTCACTATAAACTGCTACAATTTTTTTTAAAGAGTGTGGAAACATGTACCTGCATTTTGGTGTATGACTCAGAATTTACGTTTATGGATAGGTATACAAAAACTTGATTTGAACGCAAGCATTTGGAAAATTGTCAAATTTAATTTCACAAAAACGTTCTTAAAAGAAATTTTACAATGGCTTGGGATTTCTTGAAGAAAACGATATTCCCAACGGAGATATGCACATTTACTGAAAAAAGTACGAGGATTCTGAAAATGGAAAGCTCCATACTCTATCTCTAAAGGTTGCCGAGTTATGATTCACGATAAGGACAAAAACGAGGGAAATGTTTTTCTAAAAATATTACTTTACCAAATCGACTGTAACTTTCGTAAAAGTGAATATTTCTGAATGCTGCATACGTCAAATTAAAGGTTGTAAATTGGGGTTAAAAATATGTATGTGCAACACAACATTAATCAATAGGTCGCCCAAAAAAATACACCCTATTGAAGAGGACCTGTCAGAAATTTTTGTAGAAAAATCGTTAAAACGCTGGCACGGTGAATTTTGAATGCTATGCTACAATTGACGTATAAAATGTACCATAAATACATTTTTCAAATACTTTTGATCATTATGTACCTGCGTACGACGCATAACAACGAGAAAAGATAAACTCCCCTAATGGCACCATAGTTCACCACACATGTTTAACATTGCTAAATATACCCCCAAAATTCACAGACCATCTAATGCCACACAACTTCGCAAAATTTGTAATGCGCGACATTTCTGAATACTGAATGTTTGTGGCTTCAAAAAAGCCTAACATATTTTGGGAATAAGTTTTGGAGAAACTCAAAGCGGATGCTTGAAAAAATGAAGAAAAAATGTTGACGCAAAATTCCAGAATCAGAGTCGAATGTCCAGTTCATTGAGGGTGGAACCGGTAGGTATTAATTTCATTTAACTAATTATTTGCTGGTCATCAGAAGATATTAATTATGTACATCCGGACCCGGAAGCTTTTAAAATATCAGAAAACTATAATCTCGACATTTGCGTGACAGAGTTTGAATTTTTGTAACACTTATGTTTAATTCCTACCAACATATCTATGCGCATGCAAAAATGCGTTTGACATTCAAATTTACATTTATATGAATGCAATAGGTATGTGTACATACGTATGTGCATAAGTGTGAATTCGTAGCCAAATAGTATGTATCTATCTACATATAATAAATAATTATGAGTTTGTTCAACCATATCATGCAGCAAATTTTGTATCGTGGGTGTACATAGATGCTATGTAGAACTTTGGAATTAATTACATTTGCAAGTGTACAAATGTACGCATGTACGAAATAGTACTGCATTGAGAACCCAATATTTTTGTGCGAATGTTAAAGAAAATGAGCATTTTTCAGGGATATTAGGTGAAAAATTTCTGGAAATAATCCAACAAACGAAATATGCCTGGCCTCATGTTTCCTGGTCTTACCATGATACCTTACCAAAACCCCATGGTTCCAGTTCGTTGCCCATTTCTGATTTCGGGTGACTCCATACTTCTTTTAGTGGGTGTGGTGATGATATGTAAGTAAGATGATGATAAGATGATAATGATGGTGGGTGAAACTGGGATTATTTCCTTGTCACATTTTATTATATTCCCTTCCGAGTCCACTTGTCGGTTTGTTGATACATGCATATGCAAAAGCATGAATTGGGCATTTTTGAATTTTGTAAGTTCAAGGCTCTCATCCGCTTTTTGAGGATATGCACTGAGGAGGGGAGCTTCACCACCTGCCAATCACCGATCCCGTTGCCCTTTGGATATGTTGTAGTACCCCATGAGTGTACTACAACCCCCAAGTGGTTTGATTCCATGGCCCCATTTGCGCCCGCCACACCCACCGAAAGGGGCGAAAAAAACTAAAATCGCCATATTCAAATGCCTGCCAAAAATTCAATTTTGGTGCAATTTAGGTAATTTTTGCGTTTTCTTGATCCCAGATAGTTGTTCTGTCATATCCAATATCAAACTCAAGTTTTTAAAAATTTTGCATATTTTTGAAATTTTCCTGAGGTATGTGTTCAAAAAAATGAAAATTTCAAAAAAGTTGAGTTTGATATTGGATTCGATAAAGCAACTATCTGGGATCAAGAAACTGCAACAATTTTCCAAATCGGTTCAAAATTGGATTTTTGGCGAAGGTTTAAACGACCAAAAACAGGGCATTTTACATGTTTTTCGCCTATTCCCGTGGGTGTGGCGGGCGCAAATGGGGCTATGGAATAAAACCACTTGGGGGTTTTAGTAGACTCATGGGGTACTACAACATATCCAAAGGGCAACGGGATCGGTGATTGGCAGGTGGTGAAGCTCCCCTAGTGAGGAAGGCTGCTTACGTCGGTGTCTGCATGAATGCATGTTTTCTTGAATTTATCACGGCTTATATGGCTCAAAAAATGCAAAATGCACATATATGAACATGGAAAGACCAATTCCCCCCAACAATTCCAAACAATTCCCAAACACCAACGTGTTCAGTGTTTATTCGTCGTTAACAGAGTTCATAGATCATTAGACACACATACATACATAAATATGTATGTACAAATGCATGTAAATATGTGCATGGATGTAAATGAATAAATAAATAAATAAATAGGTATCAAGATATGTCGTTTATTTGGTGGTATTTATAAATTATAGACAAATGTACATATGTAGGACTATAGGATATGTGTACAAATTGTGGTAGGCACGACAGATATTACAAGTTTTCAATATGTACATACATGTATGAACACATAAATAGATTTAAAATGAAATGATGTTAATATTAAGTATTACCTCTCCTGAATATTACATACATATTCACATACAAATGTCTGTATGTACCCACATATTAATAACAGTATAAATTCTACATAGATTTTGTAAGCACACAAATTCCGAATTACACAAACGCTTTGCAAAAGCCTAAAAATTAAAACTACTTAAGTGATACATAATGTAAGAAATACAGATTTATTTATATGATAATAACAACACTTGCGTCTAATAAACATTTTCGCTTTCCAGTGTGGTTATGATGCCTCATTGAAATATTGTTTGGAAATACACCAACAGCACAAATTTGTGAATTAGCATGATATGGTTCTGTAGAATATTTGCACATGTACATATGTATGTAAATATCTAAAAAAAAAAAAGATATGCGACAAATATGGACATAGTTTCATACACATTTATCAAAGTATTGATTCCAAAGAACTGTGAAACATGATATTTATTATTGAGAAATCATGATATTACAATTATAAAGATTTCCCAACGTTTTTGGAAATAAGAAAATCAGGTTTGTATCCTTCTTCGGTAAGGGAAATTATGTACATATGTACCAAAATGTTTCCGAAAACTTTTGATATATGTACAATTTTTTTGTCACACTCATTAAATAATCCCATGAAATGTGGGTGAAGGTTCGTGGGAGTTTGTAAGTAGGTTGAGTTACAGAATATAAAATTGTAGCAAGTTAGGAAAATTGTGCATGCGATTGGGACAAATATAATTCCACTTAGGTGTGTAAGTAATTATGGAGGGTTAATGCTGAATTTATTGTATTATAATTACTCCACATACCTAGGGCGATATATTACCATAAATAAGCAGTCTGAGAAAAAGGGGAGGGGAAAAAAACTACGTAGCAATTATAGCACCACAATATTGCTCTGAATTATACTTCCAAAAACTTAGGATGCCATAATCTTCTTATTGCAACAAAAGTTAAAGGTTCTTGTATTGGTACCCACGGACCCTCTCCATAGGGGGGTACTCGCCCTCCTGCACCACAAGGGGGCTTAAGGAAACCAAATTTTTATTATGGCTTAAACTGCACCTTTCCGCTACCCATCTCCACTTAAATTATGCATTCCAACCATTGGTCGGTGTTTTTTTCTATATAAATACTTGAGCTTTCATTGTTCCACCCCCGAGCATACGCCGCCATTTCCCACTTCCGTACCCTTCGTAATAAAAAGACGAGAGGAGTGCATAGCAACGCATCCTACCCCCGGGGGCCCCCATTATTTGGCCTGCCTAAAGTGCAGAGCTTTTTCTTATGTACATATATAACATTTTTTTCTTTCCGCCTAAAAAGGCGTTGATTAATTTTCCCTGTTGGTAGGAGACCACAGGAAGGGGTCGTTTTTTTTAGTCCTTTTTCCACCCGTAGGCCATAGTTGCCATTTATTTTATGCCGGTTCCAGCATCTTATTTCCTGAGCCCTTCCCAACAAGTCGTGCGCCATTTTTAAGTACATAATTCTCCAAGAAGTATAAGTCCGCGCTGTGTGGTTATTTCATTGTTTGCCAATTTTAATGGATGGCCGAACCTCCCCGCGACGCACTCCGGTCCTTAGGACCGGTCCCTGAACACGTTAGTTTCCATCAACAACAGGCAGAACTTAGAGCCCAGCGTAGGCGTCAGCAGGCCCTCCAATCTCACTTGCCCCAAATCACCGAACAAGCTTCTATATACGGTCATCCGTCCTCCAGCATCTTACCTCACCCCGTCCCCCTTAGCTTGCCTTCATTAGACGTTTCTCCGGTTTCTCAAAAACCCGTAGGTCATACAATTTTCACCCCGCTACCGTCAGTGTCTATTATACCCCCGTCAATTCACCCCATTCAACCTCGTCGTCTGTTTCCGG